AGGGGGCATCAGATACTGATCCCCTCAGCTGTTGGGAAAGCTAGCCATGGCCCTGATTGGCCAGTCACTCCATCCCCAAGCCTCAGTTGGCCTGATCTGTTCAGCCCAGCAGGCCTTATAAGTATTACTATAATCTAAGCGTGCGATGATATAAAAACGTTTGGGGAGCAGAGCCACGAGAGAGGGAAGGAGGTTCTTCCCCCTGCCCCAAGGCACATGAACGGGCAACCGGCTACTTAGAGAGCATGGAATTCCTACAAGAGGAGTTGGCATCTCACCCCTCAGCCGAGAGCCGCACAAAGCTGAACCAAACCTGGTGCCACCATCATAACAGCACATGGTAGGATTGCCCAGCAGGGGTCTTCAGAAATTTGGGGCACTTGTGAACCTGAAAACCAAATAGACCTTTTCACTCAGGAAAATGCAAGACCCTGAGTGACAAAGTAAAAAGAGAGGGTAGCTAAAGAGTTGGGGAAACCACAGGTAGAAGAAGAGTGTAGTATGAGGAGAAGAAAGGCTTTGAATTGGAAACAAAATTAAAGTTTAGATTCGGCCTGAAATTTAATTTATAAACAGTAATCATAATTACCAGAATCAGACCAATCATACCATTCTCACTGAAAATGACCCAGCTTCTATGGCTTTGTTCCCACATCTCCCAGAGATATGCGAAAGAGCCATTGACAACATATGGCTGACAGCCGTGATTACAGCAAATGTATTTACCTCACTAATAAGTTCATACAGTTCTAAATGTTATGTGTATATAACAGCTCTAAGGAAGCAACACTTTGTTCCTCATTACTTGTTTCTTTTATTGCAAACTCAGCTTGCTCGTCTATTTAACAGATACTTACTGAGGTCCTACTGTGTGCAAGATATCTGATAGGGAAAACCGGGCAGCGAGAACCAGTTGCTCAGGAAAGTAGAGAGAACTTGAAAAACAACAGGAGAAGATGTGGAAAAACTGTAAATATGAGAGACAGGAGATTCACGAAAAAAGGCAGCGGTAACAGCAGAAAGCTCTCTATAGAGCGTCTACTCACATGCAACTGCTCTTCAGAGAGCTAAGTCGATAGGAGATATTCCAAGTGTCTGAAAATTTCCCCACTATTGTTGGCAAAGTATGTATCTTCTCATTTAAGGCACCGAGTTGTAAAAGGAGTGTTGAGAAATTGGAGAGTATAGAAAAGAGAGAAATGTAAATTATTACCAGGATCTGCAGAAAGATGAAAGGAGTAGCATTATTTTTTGTGGAAGAAAAAGAATGGAATAAAAACTGAAAAACTTTGTTTTTCCGTTTAACAAAACACTCTAATATTTAATCGTCTTGAAATAAACTTTTTTATCAGCTCGTAAATGACAGAAAGCCAAAGAAAACCAGCTGATATCACTAATTCTGTTTGAGAGTTCAGTTATTTTTTCTTTTTAAAGTGTGAGGCGAGGCCGTCTGTCCTTTCAGAACACTCATCACTCCACTTAACACGAATGATATTTTTGGCACTAGATACCATGGATGTGGAAACTTGGATAATCTTAGAAGTGGGTCTGTCCACTGGGTGTGAGATTCAAAAACAAATACAAAAAGACTGAGAGCAGAAAAGGGAGTGAGCATGGTTCCTTATGAGGTGACTCGGGGACTGAGTTTGGAAGATGTTGGGAAGAAAGCCGCCGAAGCCAGAGTCAAGGGGGGGACAACAGGGTGTGTTTACACTGAGTCTCTCCGACAGCTCTGAGCTCAGGGCCGAGGTGGCCTCTGTAACACTCTCGTGAGGTGGGTGGCGATGACTTTATGGCAGGTCGACCTTTCATGGTGAGTGATGATAAACCAAAGGGAAAATGAAGCTCCTCAATGACCTCTGAGTCTCAGTAGTCTAGGAATTCAAAAATTACAAGTATTACCTATGAGAAAAACATTACCTATTACTAAAATAAATCCAGAGGCCTACGACCTCATCTTGATAGTGTCAAAGAATATGTCAGATTGTGGTGGCACATTAGTATTGATGTAACAGCTTTTGGTAGAATCTAATGTCATCACAGTATAAATACAAAAGAATTTTTGTTTTTATTTTTAATTAGTGGTGTCAGTTGTGCTCCATCAAATCTCTCCTCTACTAATGGTATATTGGCCAGATTCCATAACTTTTTGCTTGCTTTTACCTATTAACATTGACTCCAGACCAGTTTAAAATCTTAGTCTTATTTCGGATTCAGAGCATTCTCATCCCCAGATTGGAGTCGGTTCTAGGGACTGGCATGGGCAGTGAGCATGATCGACTTTCTACGCTCCATTTTAGCTCCTATTCCCATCTCTCCTCTGAGCTCCAATGCTGGGGACAAACAGGAGGTGTGGATAGAAAGAAGTCAACTGTCTCTTGGCTTAACTAGGGAAGGCCACGGCACTCTCCCTGAAAGCGGTCACTGCTTCTTTGGCTCACTGTGGTTTGCCACTGATCCTCTATGTGAGCAGCCTTCAGATGCTGATTTCTGATGAGTGCAGTGGGTGGGGACTTCAGAGGGCCCTCGAGCCTCCCCGCTGATATCTGACATTGGAGATCTGGCCCCGACCTCACACCTGTGTTGCATCCCACTGTCTCTTGCTGCTGGAGAACCCTCTCCCTTTTAGTGTGGTGAAAACAGGCTGAAACCAAACGCCCTTCTACAATGTCTTCTCAGTCTACAGGACATATCCTTGCCATGGCATGAGGTGGGAGTGTGGGCTGCTTCACAGCCTCTGCTGTGTCATTTCCCTCCAGTTTTTATTCCTGATCAGGTAGGCTCATCAAGAGATCAGATGTGCTTTCCCAGTATGCAGGAAGAGGCAAACAAAATTCCACTCCCACCTCTTTACAGGCATTCCCAACTTTATAAGCCCACCAATTGAAAGGGACAAAGCATCTCACCACGGACACTACCCTGCACTCCTCATAAAGGAGAGAACTCCAAGGATAGCAGCAACCTCTCCCCTTCCCAATCTCCTTCTGAAGCTGGGGAGGGGTTGAGAGTAGTAGGACTGGTCTACTGCATCTTTGTAGGCTCCAAAGGGAGGTATCTGACATCGGCTCACCAGAGGCTCTCTTTCATATGCGTTGGTACCTCTACCCACAGCTTGCTCTGCTGTGGGCTCTGGTAACTGGTTTTTGAATAATAGAACACGTTTCATTCAACCTTCTGTTACAGTCACTTAACAGTAATGTTTAAAAGAAGGTCCCAATATGATCACACATCTCTGTACTTTTCTGACAGACCCTGGTTGAATATGGAGCAAATGTCACCATGCAGAACCATGCAGGGGACAAGCCCTCCCAGAGCGCCGAGCGCCATGGGCACACCCTGTGCTCCCGGTACCTGGTGGTGGTGGAGACCTGCATGTCGCTGGCCTCTCAAGTGGTGAAGTTAACCAAGCAGCTAAAGGAGTAAGTGCCTATTCGTTCCCTGAGAGCAAAGTCTGACTCATCATCGTTGTGCATAGGTGTCAGCCAGGTGCTTTGGTAAACTCCCCCTTGAGTGGGTTGTATGGGGACTTCCTAGCATTCTCCTCATCTTTTTTTCTCCCTCCATTCCAAATCCTCACAGCCAGCATTCATGCTGAAGATTTCATCTCTGCAGGTGCAAAATGATACTTAAACAAAAAATGCAGAGCAAGCTCTTCAAGCAGGGAATTTAAGCCACAGTGGACAAGGAGAGAGCCTCTCTCTATGTTCCCATCTCAGGGCCAGATTATATAGCAAATGTGGAAAGCATACAGGGGCATCATTCCCAATCTTCTTTCCATAATACTCTAGAAAATTATAAACTGCATGAGAGAGAGAGAAAAAGGCTAGAGATGGGCCAGTTTCTCAGTATTCTCAAAAAGAAAAATGTATAATTGGGAAATTACAGACAGATAACTTGGTAACCATCAGCAGTAAATTTATTATGAAAATTAAGCAGATGATTCATGAATCTTCAGAACATAAAATAGTAGTCAGTTTCAAGTATACTTAAAACACTCTTTGTCTAGCAGGAGTCAGTTTTTTTTTCTTGATGAGATTATTAAACTGATATACATTGTATACCTGATGTCAGGGAAGCATTTCTGGGAGGTTGTCATTATACGCTTAAAGAAAAAGGGACCAGAGAAGAAGTCCATCGAGTCGGTCTGTGGTGGATTAAAGGATTAAGGAGCTGACGCCCGTCTGAGACCAAGGCTAACCCTTGGAAAACATAACAAATTATAGTTGCCATATTGGAGAGGGAGTCACTGAAAATCAGAATCAATATTCGAAGTAATGTTGACATTACTTAGGAGGCTAAACCTTAAAAATTAAATTTTAGAGAAAAATTACAAAGTCTTTTAATAATAAGTACACATTTTTTCCCTTTTTCTTTTAGAAAAAAAGACCTAGGGTAGGTGGGAGGCCTTAACTGATTACAAATGTAATCCACACAACAATATGACGAGACCCTGGACCCTCTGTCTCTTCTACAAGTTTGGGGATGCCTCAAGCTCCCTACTTTTACTGTCTTGCCTTAGATGTACAAGTCTGTACCCTTCTACCCCTACTCCTGCCAGTACCGGGAATACTTCATTTAAGGAGTTTAGGCTTTTACTAGAAAAAAAAATAAAATTTAAAAATTAAAAGAGTTCCCTTCAAATGTCCTCCACCCAGTTCCACATACTTCCGCTTGGGCAGATGGGCTGGGTGAGCTTAAAGAGCTGGATGTAATTGATGGGAAAATGCATATCAATTCATAACTCAATAAGTTCTTTCCACAGCAAATATTCTTGTACTCATGTCTTTTGGTACACGTATAGGTATTTCTAAAGATAAGTTCTTAGGGAATTGCTAGAAAAAGGGCATATGCATTTAAAATGGAGATAGGTGTTGCCCAATACCCTTCCAAAAATGTCGTACCAACGTCCACTCCCCCCGGTAGTATATGGACACATCCATCAAGAGGAACTTTGAAACGATCCAATAAATGTTTTGTTTTGTTTTGTTTTCCCTAAAGGGTCATACTCAAGGAAAAGATTACAGAGCCTTCTCTTCACTCTCTGTACCACAGAGTCTGAGAGGCTTTCATGAGCTATAATAGCTGTTTTATTGGTGAACTTTTCAAGGTCATGGTCTTGGCTGCTCTCTCTGTTGATGATCCTGGGATAAAATACATGTGTATGCTAATAGACAACAGTTCTTCCGTTGTCTCTGAAGCTGAATGCTGCAGACAGTTGGAGTTAGGCCAATGACAAGATTAAATAAGAGAGGTTACATGTGGACCTTAGTCTTTTACCTAACCACATGTCTCAATGAGGTTGGCAAAACTAGAAATGAACAGAGAAATTCACTTTGTATAGCCACAATACACTGACACGTAACACAGAAAGATGCAGGAGGAAGGATGGAAAACACTAGTTTTTCCAGCCCAAAATTCTGAGTGGGAGATACTTTAGAATAGGAAAAAGCTTTTACTGGCTCTTTATAGTTAATAAACATAGTTACTATTTAGAAATGGCATTCTTTGGCTCTTTTAGAAATCCTAATCTTCAAGCCTGGGTATTATGGTTTGAATTGTGCCCCCCGCCCCAAAAAAAAGCAGTATGTTGGAGTCCTAGCCCCTAGTATCTCAGAGAGTGACCTTATTTGGAGAGAAAGGAGAGGAGTTTTCTTAAAAATGAGATTATACTACACACAGTATTTTGTAACTTCCTTTTTTACTTAAGGAAAGTATACTATATTTATACTTGATATATATACATATACTAGGGAAACTTTTTCTATGGCATAAATATTCAAGTATGTTATAATTTTTAATAGCTCCCTTGATTGAAATAATTATAAATTATTTATTCAGTCTTATTCGTGAGCATCTAGGTTACTTACAGTTTTTTACAATATGAATAATAAATTTACATCCATTTTGGGTGCTTTTGATTGTATCCTTAGGAAAATTTCCGAACTGTAAGAATGAATCTTATGTACTTTTGTGAGGCTTTTAGATTCATTGCAACTTGCTGTAAATTATCATAAAAATCTTATACCTATTAATTTATAGTAGTAGCCGCCTATTAGAGAGCTTATTGTTTGGAGTTTGTTTTTCCCAGACAGACAATGGAACATGTCACACTGCAGAGCCAGCTCCAACAACTTCTGGAAGCCCAGAAATCAGAGGGCAAGTCACTATTTTCTTCACCCAGGTAATGCCAGGAACATTGGTGGTTAAAATTCTTAAATTTCTGAGCCTTCTTTTGAACTTTCCTTCAATGTCTTTTAAGAAGATGAAAACAGAAAACATTTTATTTTTATAAAGAGGAATAAAAATTAGGGGAAAGGCATTGGACCTACAGTCAGAAGACCCAGATTGATCTCTGGCTGTGCCATTTCTTTGTTCCGTAACTATAAACAAGTCACTCTTTCAGAGCCTTTCATTTTTTCATCTATAAAATGGGAATAGATATGCAGGTTCATAAGATTGTTGAAGTTGGGATTGAGAAAATTTGTGCAAAATTGATGCGTTAATAGTAAAATTTAAGACAAATTTAGTCATAGTGTAAGGTATGAGGCATACTCTACTTTCGTTATGGTTGCCACTACAGAGTGTTTGCAGATTGCTTTGAACAGGCATTAAGTGATTATTCGTATTCCAATCTTACTGATTTGTAAGGTGTCAGTGGCATAAAGGCCAAGCCGTGACTTGTGATTGAGTCATTTTGACTTTGTAGGAAATCATCTCATATGTTCTGCATCCTTCTTTCAGCTCACCCTCCTCACCAGCCTCTAGAAAGTCCCAGTGGAAATCCCCAGATACAGATGATGAGTCTGTAGCCAAAAGTAAACCAGGTATCCAGGAGGGGATGCAGGTTCTTGGAAGCCTGTCAGCATCCAGCCGGGGTAGGGCTAAAGCAAAAGATGAAGATTCTGATAAAATCCTGCGCCAGTTATTGGGAAAAGATATCTCGGAGAATGTCTGCACCCAGGAAAAGCTGTCCTTAGAATTCCAGGATACTCATGCTTCCAATAGAAATTCAAAAAAGATCCCTCTGGAGAAGAGAGAACTGAAGTTAGCCAGGCTGAGGCAGCTGATGCAGCGGTCACTGAGTGAGTCCGACACAGACTCCAATAACTCTGAGGACCCCAAGAGCACACCTGTGAGAAAGGCCGACAGGCCCAGACCGCAGCCCATCGTGGAAAGTGTGGAGGGCATGGACAGTGCAGAAAGCTTACACTTGATGATAAAGAAACACACCTTGGTATCAGGACGCAGGTTTCCTTTTAGCATCAAGGCTTCCAAATCTCTGGACGGCCATAGCCCATCTCCCACCTCAGAAAGCAGTGAGCCAGACTTAGAATCTCAGTCTCCAGGCTCAGGGACTGCTCCCCCAAACCAGCCCTCTGGAGACCCCACTCAGCCCAGCCCTGACAGCACTGCTGCCCAGAAAGTGGCCACGAGTCCCAAGAGTGCCCTCAAGTCTCCATCTTCCAAGCGCCGGACATCTCAGAACTTGAAACTCAGAGTTACCTTTGAGGAGCCTGTGGTGCAGATGGAGCAAACTAGCCCTGAACTAAATGGAGAGAAAGACAGAGAAAAGGGCAGGACCCTCCAGCGGACATCTACGAGTAGCGAATCAGGGGATCCGCTTAAAAGGCCTTTCGGAACCTTCCGATCCATCATGGAGACTTTAAGTGGCAACCAGAACAATAATAATAACTATCAGTCAGTCAACCAGCTGAAGACCTCCACACTGCCTTTAACCTCCCTTGGCAGGAAGACGACAGATGCCAAGGGAAATCCCATGAGCTCTGCTAGCAAAGGAAAGAATAAGGCGGTGAGTGCTATTTGGAGGCTATCTTTTCTTGCTTTGAATTAATTCTGTCGGTCCTGATACTGCAGATTGCTGACCTTTGCCACCTCGAGGTAATCTTCAGAAAAACTGCAAAGGGGGGATGCGTGGAAAGCCAAATTCATGTTAGAGTGCATACCCTTTGCTCTTCACTTAGAAAATGCTCTGAGAGAAAGATTGAATAAATCACAGGAAATTATATCCTGGTCGCTAAATTTCCCTAGTTTGATCCTTAAGTATTAGGAGTCCTAGACTGGGAGGTGTTTCTATGAGATTAGACCACCCACCAATCGATGTGAAATCAGGCCCTTCTTTGGTGTGGATTCTGCCTCAGGAAAAGTTTGTTCTCCTCATGTGACTGGATAGTTTATTCTCAAGCCCAATTAAAGAGCACATAAATAGAAACTCTATTTCTAAATACTTAACTACTCAACTTTGGAATGACCTTTGAAATGAATACACCACAGGGACCTCCACATTGGCATTTCACGGTGCGGGCCCCTAAGTGTTGATCAGAAAGCTATAGCAGTCTGAAGTGCTTGCCAGTATACAGGGGATGGCAGAGTGTGCCATGAGCTACATTTTATAATCGCCTTTATTGGAAAACCATGCACTATAATCTGTGGTTTAAATTCAGTGAATAAGAGATAGACAACCCTCTTCTTAGGCAGTGTTTCCTGCATGATCTGTGTATGCCGTGCCATCAAAAAAAATAAAATAAAATTGGTATATCAGCCAAAATGCAAAGCTCTCTGAAGAATATCCATCGAATAACCTAGAGCGTAACAACCTGCATAACTTATTCTTTACTCCAAGGTAAAATCCCAGGAAGGTCTAAGAACTGTCCAATTCTTTTTGCTATACCAAACTCAAGTTTTAGTTAAAACGACTCTAATTAATTGAACACCCACTGATTTCCACCATAAATTATCTTTGTTGTAAAGGACTTTAGCCGGTATTTGTTTCAGCTAGAAAAGCCACACTTGTGCCCCAAACACCAGACCCTTGGGGTTAAATATATCCAAATTTACATTGTTCGGTAGAGCTTTTCCAAGAAACCTAATGGGTTCTCTTGCTCAGGAGTAAAAGAAGAATTACCCCCAGCAGCTCCCCATGCTCCTTAAAGCGTGAATGAAGCCTCTGTCCTGGCCTAACCTCTCCTGCACGCCTCCTGTTTGTTGAGACTTGCGCATGCGCTGAGCTTGCTGCATGTTTTCAGATGACTTTTAATTGCACCTCTCTAGGCGATGTCCAGCAGCTGCATCAACCTTTCCTCTAAAGTGCTGATTGAAGAGCATCTGCATAACTATGCACGGTACGTGGTATGGGGGATGCATTGGGCAGCTGTGCTATGCCTTCGCTTTGAATTGCATGTCCTTTTAAATCATGTTCCTGAGGCTGTTTTAGCAGGGGCTGATGCCAGGGAAGAAGAAACTTAAACTCTTCCCCAAAATAGGAGCAGGCAGACTTGTAACTGGACCTTAGAACGGGAGCAGGTCCCCTATAGGAGGGGCTTTATTCCAGCAGCAGAGGGCAGAGGAATCTACTCAGCTCACAAACGCTGTTTCCCAGTTGACTTTGGCTTTCAGTCTTTGTTTTAATGGAGTCAAGTACCAAGTAAGTATAGAAATTAAATTTCCTGTCCTGAGTGGAATGAGTCAACCTCCTATCGGAATCAGAACATTGAAGCAGAGCTGAGGTTTTATTTCATTGTTGATTAAAAGCCCCATTCGTCACCATTCTGCTGCCCTTCAGAGAAGCCAGGCTGGCCCTGCCATTCTGAAATTGCTCCAGCATAACATTCAGACCTGCGATGCCAGTCAATAAGCCAGTTTCTGAGTGCCCCCTCCACCCAAACTAAAGAAGGGTTTTTCTCAAACTGTTTATGATTCAAAATGCATTGACTGTGTACATAAAAGGATCGTTTTGGAGGTCACAGGTGGCTCAGGCACCTTCTTGGGCAAAGTCTGTCTGTAGCATGGCTTTATTTCATCCCCCTGGGAGAATATGAACCACTCCCCAACAAGAAAGGAAACAGGAGGAGGAAAAGGAGAGCAGTGGAGGGGGCGTTAATGTAATCAGTGCCTCTTACTGGTTTATTTCAGATGAGTTAAATTTCAAATCCATTTTAAAAGGAGACTATCAATTTTCAATCATTTAAATTCAATTCAATTAAAATGAATTGTTTAAAAGTATGACACACCTTTCAGCACTCTTCCAAAATCCTCCAGAATGTTTGTGTGAACGTGTATATGTGTATACATATAGTTATACACACAAATATGAGCATATGTGTTGTGGGTATAAATTTTAGTTCAGAATGCTAAGGTGTGAGAAATGTCACTCTCCTTTTTTTCCCCTTTTATTTTAAATTTAAATTAATATGTTCCAAAAAAATTAATCTGCTCTAGATCTCTGTTCAGATTAGAGGAAAACTAAATCTCAGTCATTTTAGGGGGTGCCCCAAGTGGGTCTCATTAATTCAGTAAGTTGAAGGAAGTGCCTTGGAGGTTCTACATTTACTGGTCATCACATTGTGCTTGGTCCAGGCTCACACGTTGCCTAAATCTGGCTGCTGGGACAGGAATCTTGGCCAGTGCTGAGAGCCCAATGCCTGGGATGGGAAGAAAATAGAAAAAAATACCTATTCCCTTCGCAGACATTGGTACTGTCCCATTTCTGTTTCTCGTAACCTACCTTCAGCATCCCAGAACCCTTCTCTGTCCCCATCTGAGGCTTTGTGTGTCTTCTGGGGCCTGGAAAATTCTGCTATAGTCTTAAACAGAAGTCACCTGAGGGAAGGAACAAAGACTTGGTAAACTCTTTGAGAGGAGGAAGAACTTCTCATTTCTTTCGGGCTCCTACTGCACCTGGAACCAAGACAAATTACTATCATAGGAGATTCTTCTGCCAGAAATATTTCATCCTTTTCACAAACAAGAGAACAAAGTCAAACAATCTACTATAATAGGATGACGAAAGTCAGAGCACTAAATGGAGTTACAGGGCTACTCAGATGTCAGACACAAGGTTAACACTTCCCTACTCAATTTGAGAAACAATCCTTCTGAAGGCTCAATTTTGAACCTGTCAGATTCATGGGCTTTACATGTTAACAGAGTTTGATTTCAGTGATAAACAGAAACCTCCAAATAAAAATATGCAGTGTATTTATGTAAGCATCCTGATCACTTCCCCCTCTCTACTTTATACATTACCCTATACTTCGTTTTAGTTGGGTATGTGTTCCACAGAAGGTGAAAACCCACTGGTTTGTTTATGCCAGAGACGGGGGAGATTTTTCTGATTCACTCATAATCACACAGAGTCAGAGACAACCAGCCCAGTTCACCCCTTCAACAGAGTAAGGATGGATATCTACAGTTAAAATGATTCTTCAGAGAAATTTAAACTTGCATGGAAATGTGGGCATGAAAAACATCTTATTCTACCGTAGTGCCGGCTTCATTTTGCCTGTGGGACCCATAGAAAAAGCATTCCATAGAAAGACGCAAGAAAGAAAGGAGCCTAAATGTTCATCTATCAGTAAAGTCTTCAAATCTTGGCCCAAGAATTTGCTTACAGGCCAAATGGCCCCTCTCGGGTAGCAAGGATTACCCAAGATCTTATATGGAAACTGGTGGCAGTCACTGGGTTAGAGTTGACCCCAAACATTATACCACTGAATGGCCCTGTCATTGTAGCCCCAGGAGAAAGAATGGAACAGTGGACCCTAGTTCCAGGCATATACTGGAATCCCATTTTAGTTCCTAAGAGATTTTTATTTTTCCTGGTAAAAGAAAAATTGGGGCAATAAATACAACATTGTAAAGAATGTCAGCTCTGTGAGGGGGGTCTGTTTGCTGTTTACTTTTTCTAAATTGGTCACAGCTTGATAGCAAAGAATCTAAATTTCTTTTCAATGCCTTTTAAAATTAGATCTAACTCTATTACTTTGAACAGCTTTCCCAGTGTGTTTCGACTGCAGAGGATGACTTTGTTTATAACAATCAGATTTATCTTTACTTTTTCTTATAAAAGGCAAATTGGTTTTGAGTTATTACAACTCCAAGGGAATGTTTGCAATTACTTGTCTCAAAATGCCAATAAGACATCCATTTCCCAGAGTTTAAGTCTATCTGAGATTTGTAGCAAATGAAGTGAGCATTGGTTTCAGTTACTGATAGCAGAGGTCATTAACCCCTGGCCACCACCAGTCACACCCTCCCTGACCACAGTGGCACTGTAGCCTGAGTGGTTAGCATCAGGAAACCCCTAATTCTAGCACCAACATGAGAGTAGACTCCTTAAGAAGACATTAAGCAATAAACACCATTAGTGTGGGTTTTACTGTGAAGGAATTGTCCATACTGGGAATTGTACATCTGGAGCCAAGAGCTAGTATCAGATATTTTGCTTAGATGTCAAGGTTGTTCAACATCCACTTGAAAGAAAGAGATGTGTTTGTTTGGCCTGAGATGATATGACGGTGTGGCAATGGTCATCTGTACCCAAAAGGAGGTCAGAGTTCAGGGTGCTCCCAGCGGTGTACATGCGTGCATGCGCGCGCGCGTGCACACACACACACACACACACACCTGACCTTATTGCCAGAATGTCACGCTAAATGGAAAAATGAGCAAAGATATGGAAGACAATGGGAAAGCAGAGGCGAGGTCCTAGCCAAAACCCAACCCAAGCAGAGCGTACTCTCAGCCCTACTGAACAGTCATCACGGGAAAACACCGTCCAGCCAAAAAGGAGTCCCCGATCCAGCTGAACACATGCATCCTTGCCATGATTTCTCCGAATATAATAAAATACCCACATTTCAATCCTGTCTTAAATTTTTGACTTCAAAGTATTTATTTTTAACCCATATGCTTTTTAAGGACTCTTGAAGTGATAGTTATAGAGTTAGTCATAGGTGTGTTTCCAAGCTATCTGAGTGTGTATTGACTGCATACATAGTTCTAGAGTGAAACCCTTAGAGCAGACTGAATCTTACTAAACGTAATAGTTTGGAAAAGTTCACTAAAGTGCTAGTACTAAATGTATATTTAGTAACACTACGCGTTAGACTTTCTGCTCCAAAACTATAATTTCAAGTTCTAAGCTCTGATCTGAACTACCTTGTTCTGTTTTCATTCTAATATACTAGGTCTGGGGTCCAGAGCCTGTTAGTCAGCAGGTGTAGGTACTTGAGATGATTACCTCTGCTCCAGAAACCCCTATCTGGTCTCCTTGCCTTCCACACCTCCCATGTTTACCCAGGTGTTCTGTGCTCCCTGTACAATGCCCTTTCCTCCCACCCCCACTGCCGCCTCCCTAGGTTCAAATTGGTTCCAAAGAAAACCTGTACTTCATACTGAAGCTTTGTGCATATGACTTGGAGGAATAGAGGAGACCCCAATCTCGAACCGTTTCTCTAGGTTACATTAATTGACAGCTTCTCCTTTGAAACGGGCCACAATTTTGCACTGTCGTTGGCTATTGCTTAACAGAAAATGTCCATGTTATAGGGAATAGTTAAAATCATCAGATCTTTCCAGTGTACAAGCACAATTTAGCACTCCCTCTAAAAGGTACCAGACTTCCCGAGGTTGGTGAGCACACAATTCACAAATGGAGTTTCTTCTCATAAGCTCCTTCCACCCTCAGGGAAAAGGAGAAAGCATGTACTGCCACAGGAAGACAATGAGACAGAGTTTAGTATCAAAACGTGATGAGTTAAGACAGAAAAAGCTACTACAACTAAGGGCTTTAACATTCCGTCTTAAAGCCCTGCCTTTGGGAGGCAGGAAATCAACATGTGGGACACCTGCCTTGGAAACCAAAAGTATCCCACTAGAAATGCATTCATTCAGTGTGCTCATCCCGGTGTAAGAGTAGTCACAAAATTTAGGAAGAAACAACTCTCCTCTGCCACCTACACCTTTCCTCGCTCTCCCCGGGGTCCAGTTTTGAATTGTGCAGCTACAAAGGGGATACATGTTCTGTTAGTTTTGTAACTGCACCACCCGTCTGCCACTCTTGGGTGTGTTTGTACATGGAAAGGGCAATTCCTGTCTATAAACTCTCTCAAGGCTGGAGTTTTCAAGAAGCAGCAAGCCATTGGAGGTTTAAAAGTACCAGATGGCAACTTTACCCAGACACCTTCCAGGACCTTCTCCAAGCATCCCTGCTCCGACCGCAGTCATTTGGGATTTTTCTTCCCACTGGGAACAGTGCCGACACGTTAGCTTCCCGAATGCCACATCCCTGGATTTCCAGCACGCTCATTTCAACAGTTTTTAGCTCTAAGCCACACATTTTGCTGTGCCAGAGTAAGGCGTGGTCTCTTCATTTAGTGAGATCATAATCAAGAGAGAATTTAAAGAGAATATAGTTAAAAACACGGCGAACTCCATGAAAGGTATAAGAACTTCATGATAGTGCCCTCAGCCCCTACCCTCCTTTGTACACCCAGTGTCTAGTGTGGTACCTGGCACCTGGTAGGGGCTTCATAAATATTTGGAGAGAGGAACAGCTAGAGAGAGGAAATGAAGGAAGAAGAAGGAAAAAGAGAAATAAAAAGAATGAAGTCATCATCCCACGGAAAGAATGGTGTGTCCTGTAAAAATCTAGGCCATCCGATTACAAGTCCCCCTACAGATGGGGGGTTTTAGTTCAGGTACTTCGATTAAGTACAAGTTTTCATACTTTGAATGTAAATCCCATTTTTTAGTAGGTGGGATTTAAAGGTATGCTCTCAGTAAAGCTCTGAAGGAGACCACAAAAGTAGCAACGTCTCCCTATTTTGGTTATCAGTGGAAACGTATGCCCGTGGACCATTTTAGACTAATCCTCTAAGTAAGTTGCTGTCCGGGCTTTGGAAATATGGAATCTATGCCTAGATGAGTCAGCAGGTTAGAGTACTTGAAAAACTGTTATTTAAATTCAAACCTTTTCTTCTTTCCAATTTTGGTCACTGAGAATGTGATATTATATCCCAAAAAATGAAATCACGGAGCAGCAAATTATCTGAATAATTCATGCCAGAGTTACCCACTTTTTTTTTTTTTTTGAATACTCGTAATTCAGGACTAGGTAATTGAAGGGTTCAGGGAAGCTTGAATTAGCTTGATATTATTCAGATAAATGCCTCAAATTAACATTTTACTTGGTATAGATTCAGCTCTAATTATGCTGCGTTTCGTTTTGCAGAAAGTGTTCTCTTTAGTATTTTTGACCACACTGCCACCCCTTGTATTAAAGCAGAAATTATACACATGTCCACCCATCCACCTTTCCACTTCGGAAATATTATTGGCGTTTTGTCTGTTATCACTCCTCTCCCATTTCCCTCATTCATTTAGGTTTATGCCTTTTATATTTCTACGTTTTCATTTTAGTGCTGTTTTGTAAGACAGAGGTGATATGTGTGTGTGTTTTTAATCCACCGTCTTTAATTGGAAGTCCCTAGAACATCTCTTAATCAACCAGGTTTTTCTTTCATCTTCTCCCTTTCTTGCCCATGGACAGCTCTCTAAAGTTCTATTAAAAAAAAATAAATAAAAATAAGAATTATAACTTTCAGAGTGTGATGATAATCAAATATTTACTAGAACACTAAGAATAGACTACATGATCTTTGTAAGTGAGCACGATTTTGAGGCCATAAAGCTACACTTGGGATTCTTCATCCAGATATGTCCTCATGTTAGCGAGTACCATTACCAGAAAGTTTGTTTTTGTCCAGCGTAGCAACAAGAAGGAATTTAGTGAATTTAGTAATATGTAGGCCTGCCACCGTCAGAAGATAACTCTCCAGAAGGTTTTATTCCCAGAATGGGACTAATATCCATGAAAATGAATGCATCTACCCAGAGGGAAATTCACTTAAAAAGCAAAACTGATCCACGGTTTGAGCTTGTACTTCTGGTTCCACAAGCCTACTAGGTATCAAGTATTGAAGGAAAAACAGCATTATTCCTTAGTTTCTTCTTTTCCTTGTAGATTTACGAGCATGCTGTTGCTCAGTAATCACATACCCAAAGAAAAAGCACCTTCTTTAAACTATTAATAATCACGCTTATTGAAGAATAAAAGGTGTCACTAGTGAATTCATGTAAAGGAAATATAAATATCTCTTGTTTCTACTTGACCGTCAATACTTTCTGTTTTGTTTGTGATAAAATTCACTGACTGTAAATTTTACCTGGAGTTCAATCAGCATAATTGAGAAATTACTTCCGGAGACAAAAAGTTTTCACTAAGTGTGTGTGTTGTGACATGTTGACTCTTGCTTTTATTTTTTAAAGAATAGTTTATATGAAAAGAGAATAATTTGCCTACTGGAATGAAGCATTCTTCAGTGTGGTTTGTATGAGGATAATTTCCATTTTTGGTGAGCTGTTTAGTGGTATTGTCTTGTAACTCGACCATAGTTTTATCTAATTTTGGCCTCGTGGTTTCTCTTCTGCTTAGGCATAATGACATCAATAGAGAAATGAAGAAATCCTACAGCACAAAGCACACTGCTGAGCCAGAGACAAAAGAACTCTTCTTGTAAATCGCTTGTTTATTATCCCTCATTGCTGCCCTTTGGGCACCATTGGAAATTTCTGGATTGTCCTCTGTGGAAGTAGAACCATGAGAGCAACACCTCACCAGCAAAAGAACAGAATATCAGGATGCCTTAAATTCATAGTAGTAGACTATATGACACATTTTGGGTGATATTTGTATATATAACTTGTTTTGTAAAAGATGCTGTTTAAAAGCATGATTGGGTAAATGTATGTTTTTTAAGACTGGATTGATTCAATTTATCCACGGGACATTCACCAAGCCACTGACGCCAGTTTGTATTTCATCGATTGCATGAGTGTTTCCTAATGTTGACTGAACCTCCCTTTCCCCATAATTCGGGCACTTTTGGCTCAGCATCTCAGTAAGACCAGGTCAGTGGTATTGTTTCCTGTCTAGAGTGTTTTTCTGTCGTTTCTACTTTTTGTATAAAGGAAATAAAACTGTGTTAACAGCCACCTATAAGCTTGAGACACCTACTTTCTAATAAATCTGTGATGTTCTGATTTCTAAGGGACTTTGAGAGTATTTTGATTGCTGCTATTTTATTTCAGGAACAAACTGCCCAGTTTAGCTGTTTTCCCACAGGGATCAAATAAAACATTCTAGTTTTCATTAAGCACTAAAGGATCAGACAAGTATATAAAATAAGCCAATGCCTCTGTCTTCTCAAATCGCAGCGCTGACATGAGAAAATGCTAATGACAACTAAGGATTTAGCCCCTTCTTGGGTCACTTTTTTCTGCCTCTAGCACATTACGAGGCCTCTCTAATCCCTTCAGGAGACAGTGTGGAGCCTGCATTCAGAACAGTCCTATTCTTGATGCAACTCTTTCAGTCCACGTAAGCAGTGAGTTCCAGGAGGTATTGTCCTATCATGTAAAAATATATTTTCATCAAAACTTCGAGAGTTTTATTTTCAAAGTGTTGGCAGGGCCTGCCCAAAAGAGGTCTATCAAATTTTAGTTTGAAAGTAGAATGTATTCCTACCAGGAGCGGGGAGCGCTATGTGCTATTAATGGTTACTAGCAATGTTACCGCAGTCAAATGTGGACCATTCTGTATTCTGGTGGACAAAATAGGCCAAGGTACTGAGTTAGGAGGCAGTTTTGCATATGTGGGTTATCTGACAAACGGGCTTGATGACATACAAGGAGGTATAGACAAAGGAGTTAATACAAAGTGTCTTTAATGCATCGGCCATGCTTATGTGAAGATATTAGTACTCCCATTTTATAGATTAGAAAATTAAACTTCAGAAAGCTTAAATGCTGTGTCCAAGGTAAATAGCAGAATTTGGCTTCGGTACCAATTTGCTCATTAACCCCACTACACTATCCATCTGTCCTGCGCTATGCTATCCCCTGCGAGCTTTGTCCACTGGACAAGCACACAGGCAGCATGAGTTGTGTGGTGTTTGCTCTACTTCTGGATAACCCTTTGGTCTTGGGCAAGGGACACCGCCTCCTTGGAAAGCGAGACTGGCCTACAAACACATCTAGGAAGTAGATTCTTTCCCACTTATAGAGCAACATGTCTGTAAATATCAACCAATTTGCTCTGTCCTTGTTTGGGTCCTGTGAGTTCCTGTCATTAGAGCCTGGTCCCATGTGTGGCTCTGCATTTCTCATACTGTCTTTTTCTCAAATGAGATGCCCTATGTTGATTTTGGCCCCTTGGTTTCACGTGTCCTCTTTGATTGCTTCCTGACATTTCACTGCTCTGTTCTAGTGCTTGATTGAGCTTCTAATAGAAAATACATGGCAACCACACATGAAATGTAGATTCCTGTATTTTCTGCTTGGTGCAGAGGCCACCGGTGAGCTGGAATCACACTTGAGCCAACATTTAGGACCTAGCCCTAGAATGGGGTCTACAAAGAAGAGATTCAAGGAATGCTCTCTCCCCTAGAGGCCCCAGTTTTATTCTTAGACTGTGTTTTTAAAGTTGAAAGGGACTGGGCATTATGCGGACTTTATAAGCCAGAGACAGAGTTCTCAATTAAACATAGCAAAGAAAATTTCAAGAGTTCAAAAGAAAGAAATGCTATCTTCACTTAGAAAATTCTGGCAATTCGATTAATGCTAGCATTTTAGATACCACAGTACTAAGCAAAGAAAAGCAAACATTTTTTTTTTTTAAGTAAAATAGGAAAGCTGAGCAGATTCAGATGAGCCAAACTACAAGAAAATGCATTCTATGTTTAATGCTGTTGCTAGGACACTAAAAATGCAGGTTCTGAAATCATACATGTACAGTCCAAGTTCCTTATGAAATGGATAAGTTAGGTTTGCTTGAAATTAATAGAAATGATGTTTTCTATACCACGAACTTAATTTTGTACAGAATTTTTAAAATAAAAACACAAACTCTTATTTCTTTGTAAAGAGTAAGACATTTACATGTTAAAGAGTTTTTCCTTTGAGTAAGCAGAGCTTTGAGGCCCCTACCCGAACTGCCTCTCATTGGGCTAGTAAAATGAGTAAAGCTCTATCTGAATGCCTAATTACATGTGGCAGAACAGGAAACTCGGCTCCATTGTAAAAAACTATCACAACATCTGTCAGCATCTTTTAAAGACTGGCTTCTTTTATGTCACTAGAGGGACTTGTATTGCCAAAGTTCAACACATCAAATTAAAAATGTGTCTTAGAAAAGATAACAAAATACCAAAACTTCACCACTTTGAATGGATTGAATTCTCATTATTTATTCTCATAAAACATTAGTATCAAGACCGTAACCCTAATAAGAAAGTTCTAGATGTGCGTGATAGAGTTGGGAGTGGGCATGAGACTCTCAAAGGCTATCTTTGAATAAATTGTGAAAATTATTTTTTTTCTCAAAGTGAATATGTATAAGCAACATCCTGGATGGTCCATAGAAGCAGAAATAACTATAAAGTAAATATTTAAATAATTCTCTGAAAAACTGCCTGATATAAAATAGGTTAAATGTTATTTCTTCAGATGCAACCTACATACTCAACATTGAGTTAAGTTGATATGGCAAAGCAAGAATAAGGAATTACTTACAACAGGGTTGTTTCCCTCCATAAAAATGGAGTTCATCCTGTCTTTTGTCCATAACTTTATTTATTGATATGTCTGTCTGTATGTCCTGTATCATATCTGGTATTATTTCCTTTTATTCTTTTACTAGTCCATGGTTTTACAATACTTTTCAAGCACTTGATTCCAGTCTCTAATGAGACTATAAGTTGTTGATCTTTGCGTCACTTCTCGAACAGGGTGGTTAGTAAATATCTACTAATGATTTTTTTTAATATCCTTATATCCATCTTTATTTTCTTCTCATTTCTTCACCATTCTTCTATTTCCTCCTCCTCCCTTCTTTTTCCCTCTCCCCTTCCTTCCCTTGCTCTCTCTCCCTTTCCTCTTTGTTGTCATCTCCCCTCTCTTTTTCCCTCTCTTGTGTAAACCTTTAGTTCTCAAGATCTGTAAACCCTTTATATAGGTTCATCCTTGGAAGAAGCTGGCAAAGGAATTGCAGTAAATAGGAATGTGCTGGACCTATGTTTACAATGAAAAGTAAATCACCTCTCCCTGTTTGCTAGAGCATGTAAGTAGAACAAGCATCTTTCTATATGCCAATGTAGTCAACAAACTCTGATTGAGCCCATACCAAGAATGCAGTCCTGTGCTAGGCACTCTCCTTGGATAAGAAAAAGCCCCAGGCATGGGTATCAACCATAACGGAGGTGTACAAGGTTAGACAAGTCTACCAAACTCTGCATTAGGAGGGACTTGTGGGGAAAAGTATTCTAATTGATTTATAGCAGTGGTTCCCAAACTTTGCTGTGCATTAGAATCACCTGGGGGAGATTTTAAAAATCTGAAGCCCTAGTTGAGCCCAATAACAAACAAACCCAACTCTCTGGAATGGAACCCAGGCATCAGTGTTGATAAAAACACCAGGATTCCAATATGTTACCAAGTTTTAAAACCAGCATCTTGCTACTCAAATTGTGTTCAGGCACTGTCATCACTGGCATCAACTGGAAGTATATTAGAACTGCAGAATCTTCTGGCATTCACCTTGGTCTCCATTTTTTAATTTTGGGATGCTGTAAACTGTCTATTGAGACAATATTTGAGAAGACGGTTTGACAAAAAAAGATCTTTGCTCAAGAAGATGGAAGAATGGTGTACCCCTAAACCTGGGGTATAGTATGGAGAAGATATTGAGTGTTTTAGGGAAGTGTCATTGGGAATATGACACTCATGTTTAATGTGTGTGTGTCTATAGATTGAAAATCACATTCAATATTATTATTTTATATGTAGAAAATTTAAGAGTCATAATTATAGAAAGACTTCATTACTGGATAAGTAGAATACAGAGCAATAATCTTTTTAAAAAGCACGGGGTCATCACACTTTTATGGTCAGTTATAGTAGTGCTAGCTTTTCAGTTATTTCTCTAAATTTCCTAAAAATCTATGTTTTTAGAAGTCAGAAAGCTACTCATCTGGCAGTGGCATAACCAAGACAAAAGTACACCAAAGCAAACACTAAAACCCGCCCTCCAAATACCACTGCAGGGGCTCCCCATAATATGCCAGCAAGATACACGGCATAGTTTATGACCTCACTACATAGTACAATCCTGTATTATATACCATTATATTCCTTTGTTTACACCACACACACACACACACACACACACACACACACACACACACACACACACAGTGAATCCCTACCATGTGTACAGCTCTGTCTCAAGTGGTAAAAATGCAACTGTATATCTAAGGCAATAAATGCATAGTGATTTTGATGAGATGTGGAAAGTCTGAGTTAAACAGGATAAATTTACAAAGTAGTCTGCTGTGTTGTGTTCATATTTATATTTATATTTTATAACTCTATCTTTTCTTTCTATGGAACTGTTATTGCGGTTGTTCAGACAATTAGGAGGAAAGAAGGAAGAATTTAAATTCTGTTATTCATGATAGGCAGTGCTCAGGAGTCAGCTAAGTGTTCTCAGGTAAAGTTACTTTCCCTGATGTCCTTGATTAGAAATGGTCATGTGACTCGACTCTGGCTAATGAAAAGTCAGTAGAAATCAGAGTGGTGCTTTTAGAAAACTTTGTGGAGGAAGAAGCTTACCTAGTACTTATCTTTCACCCCTTGTGCTTTACCCTTCTTCCCCTTGGGGTAGAGCAGCACCTCTTATAGCCATGAGAAAAGTCGATATGCCAAAAAAGGAGGAGAAGGAAGGAGAACCTGTTTCCAGGAGCAGCTGCATAAACCCTGGACTGCCCCACATTTTAGTTAAGTAAGTAAAATGGGCTTTTTCATTGACTAAGTCACTGACATCTGGCTTCCGGCAATAGTAGCCAAATACAAAACTTAATTTATGTTTTCATGGTACAGAATAGATATCCAGGTTATCGGGATAAAGCAACATTTCACAAATTGTATTCTACCCATTACTAGGTCTAGGAGATTTTTGGCTGTTC